AGAGTGTGACACCCCCAGGTCCTCCCCAAGGGTCGTGGTCAGCCCCGTCTGACCATCCCTGGATGGCCAACACCACATCCATGGCTGACCTGTCGTGTCGTGGTGTCCCTCAGCGCTGTTCCGAGCGAGGACGCGGAGGCAGGAGCTGAGCCCCAAGAGGAGAAGGAAGAGGAGGACGAGGACTTTGCTGAGGACGATGACGAGTGTGACACCCCCAGGTCCTCCCCAAGGGTCGTGGTCAGCCCCGTCTGACCATCCCTGGATGGCCAACACCACATCCATGGCTGACCTGTCGTGTCGTGGTGTCCCTCAGCGCTGTTCCGAGCGAGGACGCGGAGGCAGGAGCTGAGCCCCAAGAGGAGAAGGAAGAGGAGGACGAGGACTTTGCTGAGGACGATGACTTGGCCTACACGGACGATCTGCGTGACGAGAACTACCACCCGTCCCTGGACAGGTGAGGAGAGCTGGGAGGGAACACCTGGATCAGGGTCATGGGGGGAGGTGCTCCAGGGTGCCCAGTTTGGCCCAGTATCACACTGGGAGAGCCCTGTGTTTGTCCTGGGAGAGGTGGGAACAGTGTCCTTGTGGTGCTTAGATGAGGTGTTTCCTAAGGGCAGAGGATTCTGGGGAGGAACCTCCTTGCCTCGTGTCTCTCCTGGGTCTTTGCCACGTCCAGCCCTGTCCAACTCATCTCATACCATATGTCATACCGTGTCCAGCCAATATTCTTCCATCTCTAACCATACCATGTCCTACCATGTCCAACCAACGTCCTACCTCATCCAACTCCGTTCCCCTCCCGCAGCGACTCGGAGCCTCAGCGCCGCCAGAGCCAGCCCAAGTCTCGCAAGAAACCCATCAAGGAGGAGAAGCCCCAGCAAGAACCTCCTCTGCCCAGCTCCAGCCCCTCAGAGGACAAGAGTGGACGGGTCAGGTGAGTCCCGACAACTGCAGCACCGAGAGAACGTGGGGATGAGTGTTGGGGGTCACCACTTAGAGATGTCCGTCTCTCGTGGCCACCGAGGAGCGTTTTGGGGCACATTGAAGATGTTTCTGCTCTTCATGCTGAGGAACCAACTGGAACCACCAACCCAACAGCAAACGGTGTCCAAGCCTTGAGCTCTGGGAAGGGCAAGAGCTGTGTGTCCTGGGGCTGGAGGTCAATGACACCGTTGGCCATGGGGCAGAATTGTGTTTCTTGGCCTCGTTGGGTGTTGAGGGTGCCAAGGTGGGTCTGGCACACCAAATTGTCTTCAAGGGGCTTCACAGACCTCATGCCACCCACTGTTGGCCCTGGTAAGGTCAGCCCAGGGTGGTAGGGGAGTAAGGATGGTCTGGAGTTGACCGTGGAGGGGGATGAAGACCCTCTGAACCACCACCGTGGTGGGTGTTGAAGCCTCCACCAGCCTGGAGATGGCAACAGCCCAAAAACCCCATCGATCCCATCACGATGGACCTTGGGCTTCTCCAGCAGCTTTGGGACCCAGTGTTGGGTTTCCATCTCCTCATCCAAACACATCAGCCCAAACTTCTCTGCTTTGGGGTCAAATCTTCCCTTGGGGCTTCCCTGGTGCCTTTGCACCAGCGTTAAAGGGAGGTTGGGTTGGAGGTTGGTCATGGACCTCTGGGATGTGACACACCTAGACAAACCACCTGGATGGATCTTCTCATGTTTTGGACAAGATTAAGGGGTTAAAACCTCTTTTTCCTTGGAGTCAACTGGTGTGACCAAGATGGGACCAGCAGCAATCCCAGTCCAGATCCTCCAGGTGAGTGTTGTGTTGCTCCTCATGGTCCTGATGGATCCTTCTCCACTTTGACGTGGCTTCTTTTGGGTGTTGAACCTTCTCCCCCTCTCCTGGCAGCTCCCAGAAGAACCTCACCCATCACTGGAAGACCAGAGACTCTCCTGGAGACCTTATCCCAACGAAGGTAACGTTGGATTTTCTCCTCCCCTTCTCCCTGCCGTCGCTCCCGAATTCCATGTGAGGGTGGCAAGTTCTGGCTTGGGTTTGGGTTGTCCTTCTGGAGGTTAAAAGGTGTGAAAAAAAACCCCAAACCCTTCCTGGTTTCCTGCCTGATTTCCACCCCAAATCCCACACCTTCCAAAGGTTCCCCGTGGGATTTGGGAAGGGACGAGTGGTTCTCCCTGGGGCTTGGACCTCTCCTCAAAGTCAACCCTAAGCTTCAGGTCAAGCCTGTTTGAGTTGAGTTTGATGACTTAGAGAAGTGTTCGATTGAATTTTTCCTTCCTCTTTTTTTCCCACAGCAACTGGAAAACCCGAGAGAAAATCCTGTTTCGGGAGCAAAGGAAGAGCTGACAAACATCAGGAGATTCTCCCTCTCCCCAGGGAGCTGTGGATGAATTGGAGATCTCACCAAGCTGAGAACCAACCCCTTCGTGTCCCGAGATGTGTCCAAACCCTATGGAATTGTCTTGGAATGAGCAATAAAGAGCTGATTCCCCTTTCACTGTCTGAAGGGTGTTTCTTCCAACACCTCCTGCTCTGCTCCCGTGGGAGAAACGATTTCATGCGTCGCTCAGCTCTGGGACTGGGGACGACGAGGGGACACCAGGGCTTGGCTCACACGGATCTCTCCCGTTGCAGCTGCAAGCGCCGAGCGCGGATGAGCGCCGAGGACGTGGCCCAGATCGGCCCCAAGAGGATCAGGTACCTGGGAAGGGGCTGGAGCAGCTTCCGGGGCATTTTCCAACCCTTTGGGAAGAGCAGGAGAAGCTCAATCCCTTCCACGAGGGAGAGGTGATGGGCAGGAGCTTCCAAAGGATGAAGGTGGATCAAAGGGAAGGAGGATGGAGTGTCAGATCCGTATCCCACAGCTTTTTCCACCTCCTCTCCCACAGGAAGGCGGCGAAACGGGAGATCCTCCTGTGCGACTTCGAGGGCTGCGGCAAGATCTTCTCCAACCGACAGTACCTGAACGTGAGCACGAGACCCCAAACCCTCTGGCATGAGCTCCTGCTGCTCCTCAGCATTCCAAGAGCATCTGGAATTTTGGATGTGTTGGCCCATCCCACCTCCAGCAAGGGGTTGTGGTCACTATCCAGGAGTTGGAATTAGGACCTGAGTGGATTCTCCTTTTTTCCCTTGTCTGGTAGCACCACCAGAAGTATCAGCACGTGCACCAGAAAACCTTCACCTGCTCCGAGCCAACGTGTGGCAAATCCTTCAACTTCAAGAAGCACCTCAAGGAGCACGAGAAGCTCCACAGCGGTGAGTCCTGTGGACGGAGCAGCTTTGCTCCCAGCTGGAATCTCCTTCCCACATTCCCAGTCCAAATGTTGCTGGGCCACAACAGCCGTGCCCATGTCCTTCCCATCCCCTGGAGCTACCACCTCTGGCTGCTCCTCCAGTCTCTTCCCTCACCGTCTCCATTTCCATGCTGGGAGACCTCCCTGCCCCTGAAGAGCATCCCGAGGGTTTTCCAGGCCGGATCAACCCTCACTCCCATTTGCTTTGCCCCCCCAGACAAACGGGATTACATCTGTGAGTTCTGCGCTCGCTCCTTCCGCACCAGCAGCAACTTGATCATCCACCGCCGCATCCACACCGGGGAGAAGCCACTCCAGTAAGTCCCAGTTCCCTCTCCAGCAGGTCCCAGTTCCATCACTGCCCCTCC